CCCAGCCCCACTCACTTGGCGGCGACCGGCGGGCCAGAAGCGTGCGACCTCGGCGGCGTCAGGAAGCGAAAGGAAGACGGCCGCGCCAGGGGCGGGGGTTAACCGCTACCCAGAAGCCCCCGGGACGCCCGGGGCTCCGCGTGGGGGCGCCTCCTGATGACGTAAGCCGCCCAGCCACTGCCTTCGGGGCGGGAGCCACAGTCCGGTCCTCGGTCTGGTTACGGCTCTGGGGCGCAGTCTGGCGCGGGACTGGAACAGACTCGCCTGGCGCGGGGACAGTGAGCGCTCAAGTTCGTGGTGTATACTTCACGATCCTTCGGCGCCCGGCTCCCCCAGCATGCCACGCGGCGCCTACAGTTCCCAGCATCCAGCGCGGCCGAAACGCATCTTTGCCGGCGAACTGCAAGTCCCGTGGTGCACCGCCACCGGAAGTGCGCGCCGCCGGCCTGCGCGTGCTGCACGTGGGCGCAGGAGGAGCTTGCGGGCTGCCAGCGTTTTCTCCCTGGTCCCGAAGGCCGGACGCGCGGCCCGGCCCGGCCCGGCCCGGCCCGGGGGCGAGCCGCCTCGGAGCAGCGGTCATGGTTCTGGCTTCAGGCCGTGGCTCGCGCCCTGCCCTGTGGGCCCGACAGCCTGGCCCGGAGAGCGGGGGCCCGGGGGGGGCCCGGGGGGACGTGGTGGGCCGCCGAGTCCCCAGCCACACTTCACCCTCCCCGGCGCGGTGCAGGCTGAGCAGCCGGCAGACCTGCGTGGCCCTGGCCTCGGTGTCCACGTGGTCGCTAGCACACGCCACCCACCCGAGAGCTGGGATCCCGAGGGAACTGGCTCTGCCCTGTCTGCACAGCTTTTGCTCTTTATTGGGGTCGATCGTGGGGCTTAACCTCCGGGCCTGGGTGCTGTCCCCGAGTCCCCGAGCTTCCTGTTTCCTGGTGGTTAATAGATAAGCCTCACGGACTTTCCTGTTCAGGCTGGCTCTGAACTGTGGCCCGCAGGTCTCGGCCTCCTGAGTAGCTAGGATCCCAGGCGTGAGCCACCAGCGCCTGGCAGCTTCTGTTCTAGTTGGAGGAAGTTGGAGTAGGGTTGCTGGAGGCCTTTTGTCTGGATCGTTCTACAAGTGGTTAACTTTGAGCCAAAAGATGAGTGGCTGTTCCTGCCAAGATTATCTCCAGGCTGGCAGGAGATGGGCTCGACAGGCCGTGCCCGAGTACGTGCCTTTCTGCGCATGCGTAGTGCGTCATATGCCTGTTTGTGAGCCCACACTTTTTCCCCAGTGTCACTTGTTATTTTAAGTGTACTGTTCAACTGCAACAAGCACATGCGAGTTGTGCAACCCATTATGAAACCGGTTAGACGTCTGGCCCGAACTCCCGTCCTCCATCTGTCAGAATTAGCTGGCCACCGGGGCTGGCCTAGCACCAGCTAAACAGAAAAAGCTGGAAGTGGCCCTGTGGCTCAAGTGGTAGAGTGCTAGCCTTGAGCAAAAAGAAGCTCAGGGACAGTGCCCAGGCTCTGAGTTCAAACCTCAGGATAGGCAAAAAAAAGACCTGGCCACTTTACCGACAGACAGAGAATATATAGGTCTGGCAAGGCACCAGTAAGACTAATAATAGCTACTCTGGAGTCAGATTTGAGGATCTAAGCCAGCCCAGGTATACAAATCCTTGAGACTCAACTTCCAATTAATTACTAAAAGTAATGTCTGCTAAGTGCTAGGATTTCAAGCCCCAGCACCACACAAAAATAGTCAAGGGCAGAGAAAGGAGATGGGTTTTGTAACTTTTTTGGGGGGAAGGGGGTTGGTCAATACTGGGGTTTAAACTCAAGGTGATATGATTACTCAGCACTCTATCACCTGAATCATGCCCCCTGCCAGCTTTTTGCTGGTCAATTTGGAGGTGGAGCCTTTGGACTTTTTTTTGGGGGGGGGTTCTGGTCGTGGGGCTTGAACTCTGGGCCTGGGCACTGTCCCTCAGCTCTTCAGCTCAAGGCTAGCGCTCGATCACTTGAGCCACAGCGCCACTTCCGGCTTTTTTCTTTTTTCTTATGTGGTGCTGAGGAATCGAACCCAGGCCTCATGCATGCAAGGCAAGCGCTCTACCACTGAGCCACCTTCCGAGCCCTGGGCTGGCTTTGAACCGCGATCCTCAGACCTCAGCCTCCTGAGTAGCGGGCGCCCGGCTTCCCCCGGACTTTCCAGCCTGGCCGGACTTTCCAGCCCTGGGGCCGCAGAGCGCCCCGGAGAGCCCCGGGGAGGCGGAGGCGGCGGCGGGGC